ATATATATATTTACATATTATTATTATATATATATTATTATATATATTTTATTATATATATATTATTATTAATAATATTAACATAATTCCGAGTATGATTCATGTCAACTATTTTTTAGGACTGGATATAACTTGCTGTCTTGTCTCAGAAGACGTACACCAGTCCATGTTATGTTTATTGCTACTTTTCTAGCTCAGATACCCTTAACATCGATACCCATGATACGCAGTGTGGAGATGTTCTGGCGGTGTCCATTCCAACGCTTGTAGTTCTTTTTGCGCTTCATTTTGAAAACCACCATTTTCTCGGTCTTGGAGTGTTCTGTGACAACGGCCTCGACACGCACTGCTCGTCAGAGGATAATGCCACAAAAGAAAAAATGCCTTGTTATTTACGGTAGTATACAATAGCAGACTCAGGAAGGTATAGTGTTCCAGATAGTCATGATTCGCGTACACTGTGTCTTTGCCATTTAAGGACGAGATAGCCCCTATTTGAGACTGTAAAACGGCTGGTAGGTCTAAAAGATGCCCCGGGGCTGGCGCTTATACTACGCGAATGCATGGGACGGATAAAGCTCACCACGCAGTGCATCGGTTGAGACACACGCGCAACCACTCGCCTTTACAGTTATAACAAATCCCACAAGACGCGCAAGCGCTGTGCAATGCCAAATAAGCAGATATGTGCACACGAACAGATGGTAGGTAATCAACAGCATCCGCAACACATACCAACAGACTTACCCAACAGAGGGGGCACGCACACAAACAGATGGTACGTAATCAAAAGCATCCGCAACACATACCAACAGACTTACCCAACAGAGGGCACGCACACAAACAGATGGTACATAATCAAAAGCATCCGCAACACATACCAACAGACTTACCTAACAGAGGGGCACGCACAAAAACAGATGGTACGTAATCAAAATCATCCACAACACATACCAACAGACTTACCCAACAGAGGGGCACGTACACAAACAGATGGTACGTAATCAAAAGCATCCGCAACACATACCAACAGACTTGCCCAACAGAGGGGCACGCACACAAACAGATGGTACGTAATCAAAAGCATCCACAACACATACCAACAGACTTACCCAACAGAGGGGCACGCACACAAATAGATGATACGTAATCAAACCCATCCGCAACACATACCAACAGACACAAACAGATGGTACGTAATCAAAAGCATCCACAACACATACCAACAGACTTACCCAACAGAGGGGCACGCACACAAATAGATGGTACGTAATCAAACGCATCCGCAACACATACCAACAGACTTGCCCAACAGAGGGGCACGCACACAAACAGATGGTACGTAATCAACAGCATCCGCAACACATACCAACAGACTTATCCAACAGAGGGGCACCGACAAGAGAGAAGTTCCGCCCGCCAGCGCACAGAACCTTCTCCAGGTAGATCTGCACCGAAGACGAATGTAATATACACCAGAAGCAAGAGGCAAGAGGGGGGGGGTGGAGTCAGAAGAGCATCAACTTAGTTTGCATTGAGGAACGAAAGGGGCAAAGCCATGAATATTTTAAATAGATGTGCGTCAGACATGAAGAGATGGGTCAGAAAACGTCTGCACAGATTTGAACCCATAAAGACTAGTTCCGAGATATCGGAGAGCTTCTTATTCAGCTGAAATCGCTCGTGTAACATGCAGAATTAATAGCACTTGAAATTTGCGTAAGTACGCACACGGTCCTCATATCAAATGCACATTCGAGCGCAATAAAGGTTGTAGGTGTTACAGAGCAAACTATTGGAAAGGAACCATTGAGTATCAACCTACCCTCGCATCATCCACTCACACGGTACGCTACAACACAGTACAGATGAAATCGACCAGGCACACAGACAGACCGACAGTATCTAACGCATAGTGCATTCCCAATGTCACCACCACATAGTCTGCGAGCTTGCTCAGGCTCGACTGGGATTTGCAACTCATCAGATTGATCGCTCCACGCAGCACAACACATACCCGACTGCCAACCTCGGCACTCACGGTCTGTGTGACGATCACATCACCCGCAGTCACCTTGTATTGGCTACCCCCCACGTGTACCACAGCGAAGACATCCTGTGAGCACTCAGTAGTGTTAGTATTTGGATGGTGGACGATGGCCACATTGATGATATAAAATTTGAGCGAAATTTCCAGGCTCGGTAATGTAATTAAATAATGCTGCATGATGCCTGATAATTGGGCTTAGTAGTGGAGATGATTCATCAGTTTTCTAGAGCCATAGTCAAAAGTAAGTACCTAATGTGAGAACACAGCGACGAGAGGCGGAAATCTTGTCAGTGTATTATGATAAAGAGCATGTATTCAACTTAGCTCGTCAAGTACATAACTGTCATAGAGAACCAACGTAGACAGCACCTAAATGTTATGTACTATAGAACAATCGAACCCTGTCAGTACACTTTCGACAGCTGTGAAAATGAATGTATCATATATGCGTCTAAAACAACGATCGAGATGGGAAAATAAATGCCTTAGTGCATGCATACAGAACAAAACTGAACAAGCAACCCTACAACGTAATTGAATATAGCTTCATACGTCTACCGAAAATCATTTTCTTAAATGAGAATACAATTTAAGTCACAATCAAGTATGAGACCAAGAGTATATGTTTCAATCGATGTATATAGAACATTTAAAGAAATATGCATATATATATATATATATATATATGTATGTGTGTATGTATGTATGTATGTATGTATGTATGTATGTATGTATGTATGTATGTATGTATGTATGTATGTATGTATGTATGTATGTATGTATGTATGTATTATATATATATATATATTATATATATATAGTATATATATATAGTAT